CAGCAATACATGTTAAGTCCAGAACACCAATCTCAGCCACTGAGATATGAATCATTTATTTAAAACATACTGGGTTTATATCCCAATCAGACAGACCACATCGTACCATGAAATAGGATACAACATTTGTACAAGAATTAGCCAAAAGTGGCTGTGAATGTGGAAGGTAGTAATTGATAAACTGGGTATAAGTCAAGAATGGTAAATCGTATAATAATAGTTCATGGGTAAAAATAAAGCTCATCATAAGAGGAACAGGAGTATGAATAATTTAGTCATTTAAAACTTCTATTACGCCTGTTATTCCTCGTGAAGGAACATAGGCCGCTTACTAGCATTCTCCATCCGACGCATAGTATTGGTCCACAAATGGGTTCAAAAAGTTACCATTCATTATTCACATCGGGATACAACAGAAAAATTCACATGTGACGTCATGGAATTCTAAAACTGATAGTCATATAACGGAAAGACAAGAATGATGGTAGTTTTGTTTTCTGTCATAATTTATTTTAAACATAGTCATACTTTAGGACAAAGACTGATATTTGAGTTATTCATCTTATTATCTTAAACAATAAATTTCAACATTCTGGATTGATTGTAAGTATTAACCAATAGATTTCTTGAATTTGTTATTTTAGATCAATAATTTAGTACGTTATTAAGGAAGAGTTGAAAAAACTAATCGTGTTCATTTAGTGTTACTGACTCCTAAAACCTTTTTTCATCATAGCATATTTTGTGTCAAACACCCTTCTTCATTAGCAAATCTCAAAAACAATATCAGGAAACTTCATATACTAGACTAAACAGTGAGTTTGTGGGGCCCTATATTTTGTCGTCATTTAGATCGGAAGATGTTGTCAAAATGTCTCTCCACTTTAGTGGCCCGAGTTCTGACTCCAATTAAATTGCATGAATGATTGTTATTGAATCGTATATGTTGCCTATCCTCGTATGTCTTTATCGACTTGATCCGTGTTCAGTGAATAGCAGAATTAATTAAGTCAAATAACGAGAATGAACTTTTGAATACAGATATTTTGTATATGAAGCGAATGGAATAGAGCAAAGTGAAACGACGCGCAGTGGAGATGGCGAGTAAGCCAACTCCATTTGGTCAAGCGTTAATCAATATTTATAGTCACACAAAAGTAAATTACAGACATGTGACGAATAGGATAAGAAATGTACACACACATATGAGCTCAAATAAAAACAATTAAGATTGGTAAGTGAATAGTTAACAAGGTCGTAATATGACTCAAGTAGAATAAGTAGATTGGCCTGTCCGAAAGCCAGAATAAGGTATATGGGCAATACAAGTACCTTTACGAATATCACAATAAAACGTAACCAACCTCTTTAGAAACTTCCAACAATTATATGACCGTATATTTTCGATCGATTTGTTTTGAAATGAATTTTCATGGTCTCAATGAGAAGTAGTGACTGGTAAAGCTCAACTTTGTCGAGAGTGAGATAGTGATCAGCAATGTCATAAAATGATCTTCACACTGTATTATGAAATTTATAAATGTGGACCACTGGACGTTAACCCTGTATGTCAAGTTTAAGGCCCCCAATCATGAGAACTGAAGGTACCGAGATCAATCTCTAGCCGAGTCAAGAATAGATATTGCATAAGCAACCCATACTACTACTATTCTGTGCTAGCTGGTTATCCATAGTAAACTAACTGATGTTAGTCCATTCCTTATACAATCGACTAATCCAATTAATCTTTAGAAGCATCTCAGGGATGAAATTTCTATAAGGGCAATTTTAAATTGTAACTCACCAACGTAGATGATCTATGTCGAATGATCGGAAGCCTACTCGAGTTAAACGGGAATGGCGTGACCAACCAGCTAACGTTGAAGTCACACCTCGTGGTCAGCACCTTACGTGAACTACCCCATTGACGTATCAAGGTACCACAGATGCTTTGGAGACAGTACAACACAGAGGACGTTATTACAGAAATATATTAGTTAAAGTAGATACAAGCGAAAGTAAGACCACGGCCGCATGGGCCAGTTCATGGCGTACCATTAACTGATGCGCGTCGATTTTCCTTGATCCTGACGAGGATCGATGATTTGTTCGATATTTAGTGACCCAACTGCCGGATGGTTTGGCTAGGGCTCAATGGAATTTCACTGGGCCTACAAAACAGACTAAAAATATACCAAAAATTAAGGTTAAACAGCGTTCATCAGAATCACTTGTTTAGTATCTGGAGAAAAACTCGTACTTCTCTTGTATTACGAACGAATTTTACTGAACCCGATGATCAAAGTATATTCAGTTAACAGCTGCTTATAAGTTCATTACTTAACTAAGATAATGACTGACATGTTTTTAAAACTCTTGACAGAAAAATTATCGATAAACTCTCTAATACATCATGCTAAAAACAATCTATAAAGACACCATATTCATTTTTTTAGATTAACTGAAATAATTCAACGCCAAAATATTTATGACAATTAACATTAAGTTGTAATGAGATTTCACTCTGTTTATATTTATTCTATGTAAGCTGCTTCGACCTTGTCATCCGAATAATAATTGAAAGTCATACTAATTCCGAATAAACTTTGTACTGTGAAAATATGTTTATATTGGAAAATAATCACTGAATGCAAAGATATTAATGCACTGTCGCTACTCACTGGTGTAACATATCAACAATTCTCGTTAGCATTATCATTATCGGTAGTATGCAAAATACATCTATTCTTTAAAAATATATCAGATATTCAAAATATTTAATCTTTGATATTTTAATAGTTGAGATCACGAGTCAATTGAAGCTAGACCACTATGGAAAACCTGGAAGCACTGGACGGTCGTTTCATTCTATTGTGGGACTCAACAGTGTACATCCACGATTCCGTCTTATACTAGAACGAAACGGTCGTCCAGTGCTTCCAGGTTTTCCATGGTGGTCTAGCTTTAATTGACTCATGATTTCAGCTATTATAATTACTATAATATTCACAAAAAACCCTTGTGATACTATTCTCTGATATGTTTAGTTTTTGTCACAAACTAAGAGATATAGTTATTTCACTACCTGTAGAGTTAGATTTGAAAAGACATTTTGCTCATGATCATCATAATCAATGTTAATAATAAAGATCAAAATTTTGTGCACCACACTTGTAATTGAAATCAACGTAGCCATGATAGAATTGCTGTATAAACAAAACGTTTTGAAATGAACAGTTCTAGTTTATATTTTATACCTGAAGTTTTCTATTAATAGTAATATTACAAAATATAAAAAAATATAATTCTATGATCAGTTTTAAACATAAGTCTTAAAGCAAGTGACAATTAAAATGTTTTTGACTTTTATTCAGTTTTTGTAGTTTAATTATTTTTACAACCGTTGACGTAAATAATAAATAACATAGTAGAGATCACTAATATACCTCTTCATACATCGCTATTTCTATATTTACATCATAAACTATGTAGGAGTAAGATATTCCTGTCCTACCAAAAATAGTTAATTCCAAAGAGCTATTATTTAACCTCAGATAGGTCATCTTTAAAAATATGCAAGCGATAAATTATCATTTTGTCCTAGTATGGGGTTCCTCAAAAATGTACATTCAAGATCTCTCATTAGAAAATCAAACACAAGACATTTGATTTTTCGCGCAAATACTTAACTACTAAACCAATGAGCTGGGCTAACGTCCGACACGCTCTAAAGACCACCATTTACGCTTTCTCATGAAAGCATCTGATGGACCATTTTGAAGCTAGTCATTAGTGAGCGCACGATCCTGTTTGTTAATATGACCTAAAATCCTCCAAAATGATATCGAATCTTATAAATGAAATACTAACGGACGAAAATCTATATCTGTTAATAAACTTCAACAATTTAACTGGTTTAATGAAGTACACTTTGCTACATCGTGAAAACTAATGAATAATACGTAAATAAATATTAACCTATCATTCTTACATATTTTTTAACTCATATTGTAGACAATAATGATGTACATTTGGTTGTCCAGCTATCTATTATGTCTTTGAAAACCAATTTGATTGACATAACAACAAAAACAAGCATACATTGTATATTTTCACAGATTGAACTCATGAGTCAGTTGAAGCTAGACCACCATTGAAAACCTGGAAGCACTGGACGGCCGTTTCGTCCTAGTATGGGACTCCTCAGCAGTGCGCATCCACGACCCCGCACCACGCGGGGCTCGAACCCAGGACCTACTGGCTTCGCGCGCGAGCACTTAACCATTAGACCACTGAGCCGGCATCCAACGGTGTTAATGTCTAACTTCAACCAATCCACGAAGTTGCGCTACCGTACACCATTGTCTTCAGTGAGTTCCTATCTCACAACAGACCTGGTTGAACTCCACTGGTAACGACTTCTCACTAGAACTTCAGAAGTGTCTCCTGAAGTCAGTCACTAGTGAGCAGGTGATTGTTATTATCAGAATGTGTTTTGTGGAGATTTTTAGAAATTTTCACAGATTGAACTCATGAGTCAGTTGAAGCTAGAGTTCAATCTGTGAAAATTTCTAAAAATCTCCACAAAACACATTCTGATAATACATTGTATATGTTGACATTTTTAGCAATCCCCACATATTCTGAGAAGTATGATTTTCCGCTACCACACAAAAAGATTAAATTATTCTCGACCATGGTCTACGGTCATAAATGAATATTGATTTTTATATAAGAACTGAATACACATGCATACATATACTTTATTTGATTTCATTTATTCACTTTACAAATCCATATTCAACATTCTAACATAATTTGTTATTTATTTAGTATACACTCATTTTGTAGCTCTATTCAGTAATTTAAGTTGTTCGATTGAAGAAACTCTTTTCTAGCTGAAGAGCAAATAGGATAATTTTTTTATTTCAATCATTGAAGACTTTACAATTATTTTTCTCATTTTTTATTACGTAATTCATATTCTTTTTAAATTTTAGATGTTTAGGTGTAAGTTAGAATTTTAATCTCCAAGCCGATAAATATTTTCTTATGACCGGTATGACGGTTCCAGTTTGTTCGATGAACAGTACAGGTGATATTTATCTATTAAATCAGGTAGGTCAAATTAGATAACATATATAAAATAACATCTATTTTTCATGAACTTTATTACAGTTTGGTAATGAAAAATACCGTCTAGGGTGAAAAATTTATATTATTTAGAATTCGAAGAAAACTACTAGCCATCTGTTTAAGTATTTCTAAGTACCATGATGAATAAAAATGGAAGCAAAGTTCAAGAAGGAACCTCACAATAGAAAGTTAAAAGCAGATTTTATCACAAATATCTCAGCTAAAGAGTAGTTGAAAGAAATCGATCATCTAATCGATATTTCGACGTTGTTTTTTTAACTTTCCTTCTTATAAAAATATATGCTCTCTCATGACAGTTTACAATATACATGATTGTATTTTGCATACAACAGATCGGAAATAAATTAATCGAAATTTCTAATGTAATTAATTATTTACTTTACTGACTATACAGATCATCATTTCAGCTGACGGCTTGATAGTAGATCCCAAATCATCTCACCGATAGAAAAGTAACTGTTATGTAAGTTAGTGATATCTGGAAAATCATCAAAGTTTACAGTACGTTCCCAAATCGAACTTATTCTAGACAGAGACAATTGTTATTAATCTCACTAACATTCAACAATCAGCACAAATTCTATTTACAATTTAAAGAATATCCCATTCAAAGCTGGTGGTAGCAACGATTGTATATTAGTGAATGGTTACTTTTAGTTTAACCATTTGAGGTCTTCTTAATTATATGGTTGTAGTTTATTAGTTAACTAATTGTCTGATAAAGCCAATTTAAAAACAAAAAATTCACATATTTCTGTGAATTTAAAGAAATTATAATATCAGTTAAATGGTTAAATATGATTTTTCCAAAAACCTACTATTTACGAACTAGTCATCCATTAGACTTGAAATTCCATTACTGGCTCAATATGGACAGTTTAGCACATGACATCATTGGTGTTTTGCTTAGCACAGTTCTTCTTTAAAGGATGAGTTTGTCAACCCCATTCCCTACCTTTTTTCTTTATCCAGACATGTGATTAGCAATAACTCCTAGAAGTACTCGAGAAGAAGTTGCAGTCTCGGCGAGGCCTCGTGCTGCCCCCAAATGCCCTGGTACGGCCGAGAGTGGGGAGGGTCCGCTCTCCCTCTCGAAATTCTCTCACATAGACACGCGTATATAGCCTCTGCCAGGGAAGTCATACTCACTGCCTTCTCGTAGCGGGGGTGTTGTTTACGAAATTTAAAGGACGAAAAGCGAACGTATGGCGCTTTAACCGGGTTGGTGGATATGGAGAGTCCACCTAGGGGAGGTAGAAAATCCTGATTCCAAACCAATGGTACACATGGGCTCTAGTATCCTGAAGGAACAAATGACGTATGAACCAATCGTTGGTCTCCGGCTAGCATGGGACTGCATCTCCTTACGTTACTGCCTTGTGGATCAGACTTTCAGGTCGAAGGCTCCGGGTATGGCCCGCTAAGAAAACCACCTGCTTCGGTTTGGGCACTCGAGTAGTATCACAGCCCTCACACAAATCAAATGAGATTTGTGTGGCACATGTGTATTTGGTGCCTCCTTGTACTAATATCTATGTGTTAAAATAAATAAATAAAAATGTAGTAACTAACTATGATCTATCATGGTAACACCATATTTTATTTAACCTTCTTTATTTTTCTATTCAATAATACTTATTTCTTTCTATTTGTTTTAATATTATTTATTTTAGGATTTGATTAATGCAGCAAATATTGCTATATCTTTAAATACTCAATTAAATTCAATGTATTATACAACATTAAACATGACAGAATTAAAAGATTTTCAATCAAATAATTTACCATTATTAGAACAATACATTAATGTACATGGTACTACACATATGTCTTATTGTTCACGTGTGACAAGTTTTAAATCCAATTTTTATTTACGTAATATTTTACAAACTTATGTACAACCCTTTGTAATATTCTTTACAATTATAACAAATTGTTTAATATCAATTGTATTAAATTATCCAACAATGCGTAATTCAACCAATATTATATTATTAGGTATAGCTATATGTGATTTATTAACTGTATTATTACCATTACCTGTATATTTATGCTTTTTAACAAGTAATATATTTTCTGAAAATTTAACAATATTTAAAGGATATAGTGTAACTTATTTAACTACAATATTACCAACTGTATGTCATACATCATCAATATGGTTAACAGTATTATTAGCATTACAACGATTTATTTATGTACAATTTCCATTAAAAGCAAATCAGATTTGTTTATGTCAATGGAGATCAGTTCAATTATTAATTATTTTAACTGTATTCGCTGGTTTATTATTACAATTACCGCATATGATTGTAATGCATTTTATTAATGCATTAGAATATTGTTTTTTATCATCGACATCCTCATCCTTACCACCACCACCATCATCATCATCATTATCATCTTCACCATCATCATTATCAATATCAAATTATTTATTTGATTCACAATTTATTTCATATTTATTTAATACTACTGATAAAATAAATCATTATAATTATATAAGATTTCATAAAATTAATTTAATGAAATGTACACCAATGAGTCAAACAATATTTTTTACATTATTATTAATACGTGTATTAATTGTTAATTTAATACCATGTATTATGTTAACTATATTAACTGGTTTATTAATTATGGCATTAAGACGTTTTATACAAAATAGACAAAAATTATTAAAAATCAATAATAATAATAATAATAATAATAATAATAATGATAATAATAATAAATCAATAACATTTTATAAAAATAATATAAACTCATATATAATCAATAAAAAATATAATGAAATAAATCAATTAGAAAAATCTGATCAATCTAATCAAAATGAAATCAATTTATTGAATAATCAATTAAAATCAATAAAAAATAATAAAAATTTAAAAAAAAAATCATTACGTCATAATTTAACTGATACTGATTCTACATCAAAAATGATGCTTGTTATATTGGGAATATTTTTATTTACAGAAATACCAACAACAATATGTTTATGTATTTATGCATTTATAACATTATTAGATATTTATCCACCATCAGCATTTTATCAAGTAAGTGTTTAATATTTATTAATGAATATAGTGTGTTGTACGGTGCACAACTTTGTGGATTGGTTGAAGTTAGACATTAACACCGTTAGATGCCGGCCAGCTCAGTGGTCTAGTTAGTTGAGCGCTTGGCGCGAGACTGATAGGTCCTGGGATTGAAACTTGCTAGGCGGGACCATGGAAGCGTACTGCTGAAGAGTCCCATATTAGGACGAAACGACCGTCGAGTGCTCCCCGGTTTTTCATGGTGGTCTAGCTTCAATTGACTCATGATTTCAACCAGCGAAATTTCTAAAAATCACCACAAAACCTTATTTTTATATTATTAGTTATTGAAGAATGAATAGAATGAAGAAATTTCTTTTCAATTAATTTTTCATCATGGCCTTTCATTAATATATATATGATTTACAATAATGAAATAATACTCATCGAGTGGGTACGCTATGTAATTATATAATGACATATCGATTATAAATTAACAAAATTTCAGTGTGTGGATAGGATAACACTATATAGGCTTTTTCGACACTACGGAGTGCCTGAGAAAATAGTCAATATCATGCGGAATTTCTATGATGGATTAAACTGCAAAATCGTGCATGGAGGACAACTGACAAAATCGTTCGAAGTAAAGATCGGTGTCAGGCAAGGTTGCTTACTTTCAACCTTTCTCTTTCTCCTGGTGATCGACTGGATCATGAATACGTCAACATCTGTGAGGAAGTATGGGAAACAATGAATAGTTAGGATGCGACTAGACGATCTAGACTTTCCAGATGATCTGCATCTTCTATCGCACACACAACAACAAATATAGGAGAAGACGACCAGTGTAGCAGCAACAACCTCAGCACCAGTAGGTCTCAATATACGCAAAGGGAAAAGTAAGATTCTCCGATACATCAGGACATATATCAATCAAATTGCACTTGATTGAGAAGATTTGGAAGATGTAAAAACCTTGACATATCTGGGCAGCATCATTGATAAACACGGTGAATCTGATGCACATATGAAAGCGCAGATCGGAAAAGCAAGAGCAGCATATTTACAACTGAAGAACATCTGCCAACTAACACCAAAGTCACAATTTTCAATAAAAATGTCAAAACAGTTCTATTGTATGGGGTGGAAACCTGAAGAACTACGAAACCCATCATCCAGAAGATACAAGTGTTTATTAATAGTTGTCTACGAAAAATATTTCGGATCCGTTGGTCAGACGCTATCAGCAACAACCTACTATAAGAGAGAACAAACCAGATCCCATTGGAGGAAGAAATCAGGAAGAAGCGATGGAAGTGGATAGGACACACATTGAGGAAAGCACCTAACTGCATTACAGGGTAATCCCTCACGTGGAATCCTGAAAGCCAAATGAGGAGAGGAAGACCAGAGAACACATTACTTTGAGAAATGGAAACAGACATGAGAAGAATAAACAACAATTGGATATAACTAGAAAGGAAGGACGAGGATAGAGTGGGTTGGGGAGTGCTGGTCGGTGGCCTATGTTCCATTGGGAGTAACAGGCGTAGGGAAGTAAGTAACTCGAAAGAAACAAGATTAATAATAATCAAAGTAATTATTCTAAGATCAAGAAGCTGCTACGTTGCATAATATATAAAAAAGTGAGAAGGAACTGATGAAATATTTTGATGAATGGTCAGTAGTATAGTAATTGTGTAAGAATCAAGAGACCAATGTTGAGAATAAATAAAATACGAAAATACAAAAAATGGAAAGAAATACGAAAATAGTTTATCAAACTTCTGCTACAAACTCCCCTACACCGATGGACAAGGTAGCGAGAGTGATTGTACACACTTCTTTTGGATGCGGTGGTTAGGTTTGTGAACACGGATTGCAATGGTTTCAGCAATGTGCAAAAGACACACTCGTAAACCATGTAGCAAATTTGACGGAAGTTAAATGGCTAATTGTGTCTTTAAGTGGTCTGTTTTCTAGTTTTGTAAGGAAAATGTCTTCCAGTAGAGGGCTTAATGGCTACCACATCTAATTGTCTATAGTATTCGTTACCCAATCCGAATTGGACATTCATCGTGCATCTGAGAATTGACTGTTTTATTGCGTATGCGGGAATTAAAGTTTATATGCGCCTCTCTGTTAATTCATTACAAATAAAATCCACCGTTTCAAGTAAGGGAATGTTAGTGAATACGTAATTATTTATTAAGTGAATATAAAACCTAGTTTGTTGCTAGATTTCATAGCTATTAAAAGGAGTATGCATACTGATTACAATTTATTCATAGAAGAATAAATAAGTATTCGTTATTAAATGACATCACTAATCAGATAATAGAAAACAATTCACTATTAAACTTCCTTTTGTTCTTTGGAAATTCTTCTACCTTGTGCATTTACAATTTTATTTAAAATAGAGTTCAGTAAATTCAGATCATTACTTATTAAATTGGGATCTAATGATTGATGTCATTTATTTATTTGGATTTGTGATGAAGTCTGATGGATTGCTACGTCATTATTTTTTTTACTGAATTAACTCCATAACTGTAGGCTTCCTAATGAAACTTCTGATAACCTATCTACAACACAATGATTATATGGACATGTAACTATAAATGACTAAGAAGGTTTACTGTTCTTACGAGTTAAAGAGCTAAAAAACAATGGGAAAACAGTATACAGGTCTTGTTTAGTTTTTCGAAAATTAAACAACTGTCATCAATTCAAGATGAAAGTTATCCTTGAATTATGAGAAATCTCATGATGAAACAAGCCGTAAAAATTATGTAATTTTAATTACCACTAATTAGTATTATTTGCTTTTATTTTAAAAAAAAGGATTACAAAAATGTATTATTCTTCTGGCCTACATAAACATTGATCATTAGTTACATAGTTACAATCAAATTGTCTCATGGAATCATGTCACAAAGGAACGGGCTTCCATAATTAATTCAGAAAATCATTGAGAAAATAGTAAATCTCTGTACAAAACGTACACTGTGAAACATGATTACGCAGTTATATCAAAATATTATAAAAAACGATCATTATAACAGTAATAAGAATTATAAACATATTTTTATCGTCAGAAGGGGTTTTGTGGAGATTTTAGTGATTTCAATAGTTGAAATCATTAGTCAATTGAAGCTAGACCACCATGAAAAACCTGGGAGCACTGGACGGCCTTTTCGTCCTGTTGTGGGACTCCTCAGCACTGTGCAGCTACGATTCCTTCTCATACTAGAACGAAACGGCCGTCCATTCAAAGTCTAACAACATAACCACAGTTGTGTAATAATACGAAAAAAACGAAAGACTCAGTTGATTATCAGATGTGACGATCAGACACTAAAAAGTTTTTAAGAGTTTTTGAATCAAGATAGACAGTTAGTAAAGTTATTACTTTCTAAAAAGAATACGATTATCTAAAAGTATTCATTTCCTTAAACGTCAATTCTGCTAGCATAAACATTGTTATCCGCATTGTTCGGATACTCATGCTGAGAGAACAAAAGTTATGCACAGTGAATTTGGACTTTTTCCTATTTTGTTAGTTACAAATGATCTTAAATACTTCCATGTTTTGATAAGTAAAAACCATATATAAAGAAAGGTGATTCATGTACTTGATTATCTAAAGTTAAGTCTCATTGTGGAAAGCTCTTCATACAAATACAGAGTAATTTCAGTTTAAATCAAGCTCATTTACATACTTATTAGGCATTAAGTCAAATGTCTCCATAATTTGTGCTCAAAGTTGTCCAGATGAAGATTTTGAATAAGTATCACTTTAACACCAATAACTATGAATGATAATAATTTAAAATGCTAAAGTAAAATTTTATATATGAATTAATATTTTGCATAAGGAATCAATAGTATTTATAAAAGTATAAATCACTAGGATAAAAATATTTGGTTGATATTCTCTCCTATTTTCAAACATAGAATCACGTATTTATGGGCGGATTTATTACTTTGAAGAAGTCCAGACAAGTTACCTGGACGAAACGTTAGAATTAATGAAAGATTATTTCAAATATAATTTTCACATAAAAATGTCTTCTCTATACTCGGTACCCAATTTCTGTTAAACTATTCGTTCTAATGTTGACGAATATTCGTATAAAAAGCTTGATAGTTTTTTACTTACGCTAATGTTATTATAAAAGTCAGTTCATTATAAATATAGATGAAGTAAACGTTGTGAATATTTGCAGCACTCCGTTACGTAACAGTTTGATATACATATATATTAATTTATAAGATTACTCGATTTTTCTTCCGAGTATTGATCTTCCACTTATTGTTACCTAATCTTACATTAATTTTTGGAAACAATACTCTACATTAGTTAACTCCTTCTTCCTCAAAACATTCATTCTCATCCAGATTATTTATTTATATCGCTTATAATGTTATTGTTTCTATTTTCTTGATACTCCCTTTATACACTTTATTATTTAATGTTGATCTGATATTGTAATTTAAGCTGATCTAGAATTATACGAGGTTCTAGATTGCTTATGGTTAAATAAGAATTCTAGGTGAGACTATAATTTATAGACGACATTTGAGCAACGTTAGACTGACCTTGAGAGTGTTCACTTAATAACTAGGACCAAATGAGGGTTATGAACCTGGGTGAGAAATTAGAATTATTATTTACAGTTAATGATTTAGCTTAAGAATTAAGCTTCAGGTTTCCTTCACGAATTGACATCAGCTATAATGGCAAAACTCTATTTATCCAAGTAATGAATGAATTTCGCGCCAAAATGCGAGACTTGTTATCTTGTTGCCTCGCCGAGTCCTAATGTAATTTAACACCTATAGCGTAAATTACTAATTTTGATTGTTCTAAATACGCCGATTTTTTTGTTGCTGTTAAAATTCCTAATACTTACACAACTATTCTTAATCTACTTATTTGTCATCGATTCCATAAACAACATATTAATTACCGTTGATTTTGATTAGCTTAAATCTATCTTGATACATCTTAT